TTAAAAGGTTTAAAAACATCATAACTAAAGATTTTTAAAGTGCTACTACAAGAATATCAAATTTGACGTGTGCAACATAATCTACATACCAGACACATATCAACGATGTAGATGTTGATAATACGAAGAATGTGACATTGTGTTTTTAAATGTTAAATTTTAGACCGGGTTCAGTGTGGCAGCAACGTTAAGAGTATACACCTGATGATGGCCGATAGAGGCCGAAACATGTAGTGTAGAAAGAACAAGATCAAAGACATATAATATATATTGTTTGCACTTGGGACGGAATTTGTGTCATTTATTGTGTAGAGTGCAACAGGATGCTTAAATATAATATTGTTAAGCATCATGCCATGAAGGGTATGGGTGAGGAAAAATTAAATTCCATATATTTTCAATGTAGCCTTTCCTTGTATGTCAAGTTGTTCTTGGCCTTAACCTCTATGGGTTCCTAGAACTCAATGGACAAGAAGCTGAATGTGCTCTGGGGCCAAATATTAAGGTGACAGAGGTGAGGTTGTCCCTGTGCTTAATTAAGCATCATGTGATGAAGACATGGGGTAGTGAAGGTATAGCTCCATGCATTCTTAATCTGGATGCTGAATTTAGCTGAGTTGTCACTTTACCCCTTGAATAGGAGGCTGGGTGGTCCCCTGAGGTGCTCTGGATGCTGTAGAGAGAGACACATCCTGCTGCTGGAGATGAGCCTTAACCTCAACCATCCATCTTGTGGCCTTTTGCTGTACTGACTGAACTATCTTGACCCAGGTGTGAATGTGATGCAGAAAGAAATTTTACCCCTGCTGCTGGGAATTGGGCATAAAACCTATTGGATGATACCTTATAGGCCCTAGGCCTACCTCCACGAACTTTTCCGTTCACTTCGGTTTTTCTAGATCTTACACATTCAGTAGGACTCCTTGAGCGGGTGATCAGCTCGTCGCAAGGCCTCTACCTGTACACAAACACAGAAAAATTCACACACACAAACTAAACATCCATGCCCTGAGTGGGATTCGAACCCACGATCCCGGTTTCCAAGCGAGCGAAGGCTCGGCTACTGTGACCAGCAGATCAACATTTACTTTTTATTATTACTACAGTTGATCCCTAATGATAGACCTGAAAACTACACAGAGGTAATTTTAAATGTAAATGCATCATACTCAGTGTTTTCAGAAATATTTTATTTCAGATAATACGATATTTGGGAAAAATTGTGTGTCACTGTTTGCATGTAGTCCCTTCAGGTCTTGAACACACAATTGTTTGGATTAAGCTACATTTCTCATTTCCTAGCGGCTTGGTATATAAATCTAAAGTGGATAGGCTTTTCTCTTCCTCTCTCTACGTAACAATCTCAGTGATATTTGATGCTCCTGACAGTTCCTGCATGTTTTCCAAATGCATGTGAGAAGTGTTACTATTGCAGTGGCATGTTCATTGGTGTTTCTTTTTAAAAAGAATGGCCAGTATTATCCTGAACAAATATTGTGATTTCCAGTTTGGGAGTCTCAGACGTGTTTCTGATTTTTATTTAACTTACTGTTACACTGAATAAAGATCACATAAATTGTTACATTTGACATTATAACACAATACATATTAACAGTCTGAGTCTGCAGAAACCTCTAATTGACAGTTACATTTCTAGCGTTGTGCAACTTAACCCTGTCAACACAAATTATGACCTGGTTTATTTTGAAATAATGGAGGATGTCCAAGAAAGAATTTCAGGGTTTATTTAGTGACCCAAAATAAGACTGTAACCCTGAATGACAGAACATACCAATTTTTTTTTTGTTCTGAGGATTGTAATGCAGTGAGCATGCATGAAGCCAATCAGCTGGGTTCCTTGCCATTCCAATGATTTGCATATTGCTATAGGTTCTGCTGTATGCCCACATTTGCAGGTCAGTGAGTAGAATCAGGTGTCCCAATTTTATGACCCCTGCAAAGTCCTGACTTAAAACTGCTTGACATTTTTCTTTTGGGTTCTGTAAGTGTTGTTTGTGGCAAACAAGTTGACAATACAAGTATCTCTGGCATAGAAGCACAATGGCAGTGGTATCTGCATTGGCAGTATGGCTGTCGAGTGAGCTCAGATATTGACATAATGTTTGCACTGAGTTATACTGATTCATAGTAATCTTTATATCATTGTGTCACTGGCATTTTGAATTATATCCAGTCATACTGAAACCTATGCAGTGTTACATTGGCTTGATTTACAGTATATGTCAAACTTGATGTGTTTTGCGATTCAGTTTTCCTCCTCCTGTTTTCGTTGTTCTCTGTGCTTTATATCAAATATTACATTTTCTGTAAATGGTTCTAACAGTGGTCACTTAGAATAACTGAGTTTCTGGATGTTGTCCGTTTTCAGTATTCTGAAAGAAGATGGAACGAAGTAACTAAACTCTGTGGAGCTGAGCCCTTCTTGAGAAGCCACGGGTCGTTCGGCCACTCAAGAATTTCCCAACATATTACCGAACCCGATGGTTCATTACCGTCTTCACAAGAACCCTCCACTGGTCCCTATCCTGAGCCAGATAAGTCAATACCATCCCTTTTTATCTATAAGATCCATTTTAATGTTATCCTCTCACATATGTCTACACAGTGACTTGGAAAGTGGATCTGTTTCCATCCTCAGGAGAAGAGGTGGTGAAGCGCCTACTCAGTTGGGTCTGTTAGATCAAATTACACTCTTGCAGACTTATCCATTGACTGAAAACATTTGAAGTAGGGCCAGGAAAACAGAACCAGGCAAATGAAGTTACCGGCTGTGCCACACCGTTTTAGGAGCTTCACATTTTTGTAAAGGGTTTTTAGAATGAAATGATGGCTGCAGTTTGGTCATATCATGGCATCACTTGGCATAAATCTAAACATCTTAAGTAGCAGTGTAAATAAAACTACATATTGAGACACCAATGGCGATTTTTGTCACAGTGCTTGGGAATTGCATCTTATTGGGACGAGGATTTGAGAAGTTCCAATCCAGTTTAACTTGCGGAGGGGCTGCATGGTGGTTAGGCTTGTGCGGACCCTGCTAAGAAGGAGCTCCAACACAACTATAGATATGTGTACATCACTGGAGACTGTTCCCTCAAAACGGACAAGATTATACATAACTTCTCATAAATGTACACGAAATATGAGTTCTTGTTATTTGTAGACTGATTCAGTTTACATGCTTGTAAACCCAAGGGGATGCAATGTAAAATTCATGAAAACCAGTTATGCCACGGGGATGTTTGATGTAAAAGTTCACCTTTGACTACACTGTTGGCCATCCTGGTGACTGTGTGTGTGTGTGTGTGTGTGTGTGAGTGTGTGTGGGGGGGGGCTATCTCACGCATGAAAGGAACGCTACAATGCATTTTGTTGAATTGTTATCTTG